GACAGACATCGACACACACCCCCACACACACACACACACAGACACACGCAGACACACACACACACACAGAGACACTGAGACACACAGAGACACTGAGACACACAGGCACGCACGCGGACACGCACGCGCACACAGACACAGAGATACACAGAGAGACACACAGACAGACACACAGAGAGACACACAGACAGACACGCAGACAGAAAGGGAGAGAGGGAGAGAGACTCGCATTTTCACCCTATGACCGAACCGAGTGGACCGGGCGCGCCAGCGCACGCGCGGGGTTCTCGCGCGATGCCTGCGGCCTCCCATAGGAGTGAGGTAACAAACCCCGGCTTGGGGAAGCCTACGAGCCGAAAAGGCGAGGCAGTACCGTACACGACGCACTAGCAGACTTTGAACAGTGAGAGAGGCCTGCACCCTAGACTACTCCTCATCTCACACCAGGGAGAAACTACTCCTGGGAAACGAAGGCCTACTAGGGGAGAGGGCTCACCTCATCCCCGAGAGATGAAGACCTCGTCTCACAGGGAGTGGCCACCACATCCCCGGATTGACGCCAGTTCGCCACTATCATTCATGGCACCCTGCGCACGAAGGTGGCGCCAATAGGGCTGACACTCCAGGGCGAAAACCCTAAAGCGAACTGGGTGGTTTGAACGATGGGTTTTCCAAACCTTTCGCATCCAGAATGACTTACGCGCGGGGTTCTTCAACCCCTCATGCCCCGTAGAAGAAGAGACACACAGAGGCACGCAGGGACACACAGAGACACACAGAGCCATGCCTCACGCACACGAAACAAACTGATAGAAACGACTTTCGAGATGGCTAAGGTCAGCCAGCGGCCTGTCAGTTCCCGTGGCGGTCCGTCGTGCAGGTGCTATTGTTTCGCGGCCTGTCAAAACGACCAGGCAGGTGGTTTTGAGTGGATGTATGTCCGCTGTCGTGATGAGGTCTAGGTCTAAGCACGGCTTCATGCTGCGCAGGTGTGCTGCGAACTTCCGATCGAAGGGTTGGTGCCTGATTCTGTATAGGGCAACCTGTTGAAACACAGGCACAGAAAGATGGAAACGTGAAGAAGCCCAGGTTAGTACAGGGTGTGGCAACCTGGGCCTTTGTGAAGGCTGGAGCCGATTTCGGATTTTTGAAGGTTTGCAGAGGTCTGCAGTTCAAGACGCAAGTTGGATTCCGTACAGGGATTCTGTTTACTCCAATAGCAGTTGAAGTAGAGCCATCGGGAACCCTCTGCAGCTGCAGCAGGGCCTCACCGCCTGCCACATGAACACGCCACTGGCCCAGCACAGCAAGGCTGTGCTCACTGTGCTCAAACCCTCTGCAGGCTTCAGGATTTTCAGCACAGCCTTTTGGGTAGGCCATGGACAGCATCCTGCAGAATCTGAGGAGGAAGTACAGGCTGGACCATGTGGAAACATGTGGAGTGCCTTGAACCTTTTTTCTGTGCTGAGAGATAACTGGCTCTTGTAGGTGGATCCAGCAGACACCAGTCATCCAGCTCTCAGCATCGGCTAATGTCCAGGAGCCCGATGGCAATACTCGGTACACCGGTACACGTCAGCTTCTCTTTGATCCTTACTCTCCCGTGTTGCAGGATTCTCTGATTCTGCCCTAGAATTCTTGAGAATCGAGAAAGCTCACTGCACTGAGTGTGCTGTGAGACAGCAGCACTCCAACATCTCCTTGACCACACGAAAGGGATGCTTCTCAGCGAGTCATGCTTGGTGAGCTCAAAATACTACAAGTCAAGGAGATGTGCAGATGCAGATGCTTAGGTATGTTAACGACTCACGCCGTGGGCGTGACAATTGCATGTACATCGTTTGAGGTGTGCTGCTGAAAACCGGGGCAGCTCAGCGTGATATGTCACAAGTGCTGTAGCGTTTCCAAATATTTCGCAGCTTGGCCATGTTGACCCGAGCGCGCCGCAGAGCACCAACATTTCAAGCTCCAACTTCAAAGAACTGCACATTCCATGCGCATTTAAACCAATACGCGTGTGCATATATATATATATATATGTGTATTTATTCTCACACATACAAAGTGTAATTGTATATACATACACCCACACGTGCAGAATGTATGTACACCCCCCCCCCACACATACATAAATGAGTGACGGAGTGTGTACATACATACATGCATAACTTGGGCACGAGTGTGATCTGATTTGTCTTCATCATGTGAAGCTCCATGCCATAGCTCTCTAGCAGATGCTACCGGCAGATGCTAGCAAGGGTTAGGGTTTAGGGCTTAGGTTTTTAGGCAGAATAGAGAGGATTGGTATGCATGTGGGTGGCTTAAGGCTTCCACATGAGAACCTGGGCACGAAGCGATGAGCGCGAGAAGCTACTCGTGTCGCTGCGCGCGGAGGTCCAGGAGTCACTGCGAGGCTTAAGACTCAGAGACTCAGAGATGACGAATTTAAGTGGAAAACGCATCAGAGCGTGTGTCGTTGCATATTCTCTTGGTTTCAACTGGTTTTTGGTGCCTTGGATTGAGTTTTAGCTTCCGAAGCCATGCGTCGGCGCAGGCAAGAAGAAGAAAAAGGATAAGGAGGACTCAAAGTCCAAGGTGCCCATACATCTTGATCGGAAGCTGGCACTTCTCAAGCTGCGGGACATCTCTTCCACTGGCTTGCGGGAGATGCTGTGGCACGACGAGGAGGTGCACCATGATGCACCTTGTTTCTTGTCTTGGGGGGGGGGGGACGGGGATCAAGTTTACATACCAGCGGGCTCTGGCAAGCCAGGTGCAGAAGATCCTTCTGTGGTCCGTGGAGGAGAGTCAGCCGGAGCTGGCCCAGGTTCTTGCACTGGCGATCTTCGTACAGCTCACCTCATCTGCCCGGAACTGCGAAGCACTCCTGCACAACGAGGAGGTCCCAGCCTCTTTGGGACCCCCAAAAGCACCTTGTGTCCCGGAAAAGGCAAATGGGCCCAGGTGATCCTTTAAGCTTTCTGCACTCAGACTTTTGTGATCTAGGGTGATCTGCAGATATCTGCAGGTGCGTGCCAGCCTCATCCGAAGGGCGCAAGAGTCTGGCGAGGTGGGAGAGAAGGCCTTGTTGGCACTCAAAGGCCTCACAATCGCCGCCTTCCAGGGGGACTATGAGGACGTTCGGAATGTGCTCGGACTGGCCGCTGGCAAAGGGCGCATGCCATCACAGCGGATCGAGGTCTTTCGAGCTCTCTGGAGCGCGGCGGTCGTCTCTGAAAGTCCAGAGCTTTTCTTTGGCAACACACGCATTTGGCCCACGGTCTGTGAGAGTATCGAGCCCACGGAGCCTGCTGAAATTCGAGAGAATGTTCTTGGCCTACTCGGAGCTTTAACACAGCAGGCGACAGGTCCCCACTTTGTGTGGCACGATGAAGGCTTGCGCGAGCATCTCCTTACGAGCACGACGCGATCGCAGCCAAGCACTGTTCGCAGTAGAGCTCTGATGGCTCTTGCAGGATCGTTTCGAAACCTATCATGTTTTTCCATACCGTTGCAAGCAACCGCACGAAAGCTTAGCTTAAGCGGAGCATGCTTAGCCCTGGCTTCTAGTAATTCTAGTACATGCATTCAGCATCAGTCGCTTCACAACGCTGCAAGCTGCAAGCAGGCATTGCCCGAGAGCCCGAGATGCGATCTGCCATTTGGGCCTACGTGTCGGTGGATGCGACCAGGAAGCTGACGGAGGCACACTGCTGTTAATATAGGAAGGCTTTTAAATGTGTCTCAGTCTCGGAATGCAAACAACACGTTGCTCGCTCTTTCTTTGCTTTTTTGCGTCAAGCACAGTCGCTTTGTATACTTATAGAAAAGAACAAGTACAGCCCTCTCGGAGCTCTGGCAAGCAGAATGGGGACTTTTTCGGGGCAGCCTTCACGCAGCATTGCCCTTGGCCCTCCGAGTGGCAAGCTTGAGGTTGCATGACGGGGTGTTGGGGGTGGTGAGGCCGACTCCTGCCGCGAGGAGCTTCGCTCACCGAAGCTCACGGCAGTGGGCTGCCGCCGTTGTGTTTAGGAGAGCCTAGAGAGCCAGGTGCGCGCATGTCCCTTGACCAACGAGGTGCGCAGAGGACGTCGCAGTCGGCAGCTCACAGCGAAGAACGGCGAACTTACCTGCCCTAAACGCCGCCACTACAATGTAAAAACAGGAGGCTGGTCGTAGCAAAAGTGGTGGGCGAGGCTCCTGCCAGTTCCATGGCAATCCTGCCTCCATCCCTGGCTGTACATTGGCAGAGTGGGGTGTGCGGTTGCTAACTTATTAACGGACCGTACCGTGCTCATTGCCAGAGTTTTGTGCTTATATAGGCCTCGACGAAACGAAACTTCGTTGGTTGGACTACCTTGGCCACCCTCATTGTAATCTTTGTCCGCACTTGAACCGCCTATACAAGCAAGGCGACGCGGGCGCGGCCCAGATTATTGTTTTTTTGAAGCATGCGCTCCTCTCCGCACGCCGCACAAAACATGGAAGTGTTGTTCCAACGTTTTATGTTTCCCGTAGCGGCTGTCCCGCGAAAACTGTCAAGCAAAACGAAATCAAAAGAGCAAAACTTCTTGCAAGATGATTTACTGGATGGTAGCTTGGGTGAGCAGTTGGTGTGTCATGAGCGTCAAAAGTCACCCCTGGGAGGATGAGGAGGAAGACGTCAGACACGCTTCAAGCGGAAGGAAGCGGACTAGAACTGCAAGCGACGTGTCGGATGTAGACGCCGCCTCAGACCACCCTGAGGCGAAAAACGCAGCAGAGATGGAGAAGCCTTCGATGAAAGACAGTCTGCTTGCGGCTGCTTCCAGAATCGAGCTCTGCACAGTCCGGTCGCCCGCCTTGAAAGTGTTGCTCGAAATTTCCTTCGAGGAGGAGTTCATGATGGAGTTGGTGGACAGCGGCGTCGCAGTGCCTGGTCAAAAACCCGCAAAGTTTCAACGCACTCACGATGTTTGCAGTGGCAGTAGTCTAGATGTCTGCTTGGCAACATCTGCAGAGTCTATTTTGGACCGCTTTTGCGCCGGTCTGCATGGACATGTGTCAGGAGCTCTTGCTGGATGCGTTCCACGATCAGCGGCTGCAGCCTAAAGAGCGCAAGCTCTGCCAGCATGGCCACAACCGCATCATTGAATGGAACGAGGCTGGGAAGCGCTGAGCTTGGATTGCATGCAGACATGCGCAGACATGCGCAGACTGCCAGGCGCGCATCGCAGAAGAGCTTCGGCTTGAAAGAGAGTGCGAAGCTCGAGAGAGAGCCGCGATGCTTTGGGAGGAGGACTACCAGGCCCCGTTCCCTGCTCTTTCTTTCATGTGAACTGCTAATGTGAACACTGCCTCAGGTTGTACTTCGGGAGGCACCTGAGCCACGGATGCATTACAACTGCTCTTCGACAGTTTGCTTGAGACATTGTCGACAACAGGTTCCAATATCTGTTTGTCTGCGTGTCGCCGTTGGGCGCGCCCATGCTTGAGCATGTTATCGGCGCCGGTCACTACAATACACGCTTTCTTGCACCTTTTTGCCCTGCGTCGTCGTCCTTGACGCCTTTGACGTTGATGCTTCCATACGGGCTAACATCACAACACATCGTCCAGGTGTTGCATGTTTGCTTCGGTATATAGTTGAGAGCGGGTGCGCCAGTTTCCCTGCATTTTGTGGGGGGGAGGGGGGTACGTCTTTGTTGTATTGCGTGTCTTTGTCCGCAACCACGAAGCCGCGTTTCTTATTTCCTAAAAACCTTTTTTTTGTAGCGGAGGGAAGGGCGGGGTGGAGAGGGGCAGTGTCCATTGACGGAAAAATTGACGTGGAAAGGCCGTGATGTGCCTGCCATGAACAACCTGCACGTGTTTTCCACGAATGGAACTAACAGGCGTAGACCAGGAACGCGGAGAAAAGAAGTGACAGCGACAAGAATGTGTTCTAGCCAGTGGTTTCCGCAGTATGGATGTGTTGCAGCATGTTGATGGATGTTCGGCCTTGGTGCCAAGGAGATGAAGCGTGCAGATGAAGAAAGCTTTGCCTCCGAGGTTGCGCGGTGCGGTGCACACGTCTGAATTCTGCTTATTTCTGCTCTCTGTCACGTCTCGTCTGGTCTTTCTTCCCAGTCAGACGACCCCTACACCAGGAGTGGTCGAAGGCTGATCGGGAGTTGAAGGCCATGGTAAAGGAGGATGACTGGTCTTCAGAAGTGAACAAGTACTTGAAGCTGCTTGCCCGCGGTTGCCCTTTCAGCAATAATGATCGCGCCGTACTGCTGTACTGTACATTGAATTCCTGCCGAGGTTCCTACTGGAGATGAACCGACAGTGCATGGAGTTGGAAGATGAGCTATCCCATCAGGTTCGAAAGCAGGACGAACTTGCAATGCATGAGGGCTCATGAATGCTGTGGTGGTCTTAAATTCTTAAAGTCTTTGCAGGAAGAGGAAAGGCTTTTTGCGTCCAAGATCGCAGCCGCTCGCGAGCGTGCAGCTGAAGCAGCGATAGCTGCTGCCGGGGCCATGAAGCGCGTGACTGAGCTGCAACAAATGAGGCAGGAATGTGGCAGTGGTTGTTTTCCGGAGCTCGTACAAGTATGGCAGAAGGGTTCCCGTTTTGACGCTTGGGGTCCCAGGGGTCCAAGAGGTGACCAAACATCGTCGCGTTTGTGCTCGGGATGAGTTTGCGCGCGTGTCGCACATGAGCTGTAGTTGCGGGAGCCTGCGTTTTAGCATCGTTTTGGGCTTCGCAGCCTTCAAAAAGTGAGGATGAGGCGTCGCACTTTTGGAGCTTCGCTTTGCGTTCGCGTATATCCAAAGTGCTGACTGACAGTTGCGAGGATGAGGCCTCCTCGAATTCGCCATCCTCGTAAATGCGTCGTAAAAGTCGTGACTGTTTGGAATTTCGTATCACTTTTGTGGCTTTCGGCTAGCAGTCGCTGTACAAGACTGTGTGTTCTTTTTTCTTCAGCATTGTGCAAGCAGAAGCAGGTCGAATCTCTCTTTGCGCGATGCAGTGCAAAATCTGGAGGCCATTCACTCATGCGTGTCAGGAAGTTGTAAGATGAGGAGATGTCCGTTTTCTTTGCAGGTAGAGACAGACTTCACCATCACGTTTGAAAAGGGAGAGGATGACGAAGGGAGACGGCAAGACAACAGAAAGAGCGCAAGGCAAGACAAGCAACGAGAGAAGAAATCGGAGATGAGAGATTGGCAAATACAAAGGCAAGAAATCAGACTGGCCATCAGACGCATCGGCTCGGAACCATCGCACGTTATGTCTGTCATTTTCTGGCAAGTGCCTGCGTTCGGGTTCGTGGCTCCTATCCGGTTCTTCAGATTCGTGTGGTAGATTTGCGTGTATTTGTGTACGTACTTAAGTCCAACACATAGACAACTGAGGTGGGCGGCGATGCGGTTCTTCAAGCTCGAGATGCTGGAGAGGCGGCTGGCGCGGCGGCCGCCAAACTTGGCATGGGGCCCTTTATCCAAGCAGCCTTTGCAGGCTCCCAAGCAGCCTCAGCAGCAAGCATCAAGCAGAAGCAGCCACTTTCACGAGCGGAGCAACTTGATGAAGCTTCAAAAGCAGCGATGCTCGTGGCAGACCGCTGCGGCATGACATCGCAAGAGAAGGAGATGATTGCTGAAGCCACTGTCGCCGCCAAAGACGCGGCGCATCTTGATAACGAAAGCGACATTGCAATGTGCTTTGCAGTCGCCTTGGCATCCCGGTTAAGTTTGACCGACGAAGCCAGAATCGCAGTCACAGGCGCTTGCACAAAGAGTAGCCGAGGATGTTTTGGAGTGGAAATGGCCCAATACGAACGCTTAAGTGGTAGTACTACCTGGCAGTCCGCCGCTAAGTATAAAAAAGACATGCGGTCCCGCCGTCCCAGCTTCCCTGAGGTGCCACAAGTGTCGACAATGACAACAGCTCTTCGGCGTGCACCTTCCCTGGGGTATTCTCAATTATGACCTCATGGTTTCGTGGTGCACCTAAACCCCAGATACAGTTGACAATGTTGAGTTTCAAAAGATGCGGTGATGCAAGCGCCAGGTGTAGCATCGTTTGGCCGTTTCCGTTGCAGATGAAGGAATTGCTAGCAGTCGCGCTTTGGTGGTCGACGCTTCCAAGGAAATGATGGCTACCCATCATGACGACGATGATTTGCTCGGTGCAGTAGCATCCATTAGCAACGTTCGCTGCAGTCAAGTGCCAAGCACGCTGCATCGTTCATGGCAAGTGCATGAGCCGTTTCATCAACATGAGATTGCGCAAAAAGTGTGGCATTCTGTCTGCGAGAGTCAAGGGGGAGAGCACATAGCAGGAGCAATGTGGCAAAACTTTGTCTAATGGGTCCGGAGAAGAAGAGGCACTCGCACGCTTGGCAGGCGTGGTCAGCAAGCCACATTTAACAACCAGAAGTCTTGTCTCGAGCGCGATGCCCACGGCGGCGTGAACCAACGACGGTAATCGGATGTAACTACTACAGGGCAAGCACACCACGGATTCGTTGTGCGTCTTGTGCGTAGTAAGGAAAACCATCGAGAGACACAAAATGCGAGGTCAAGATCTGGAGTACTGATGCCGTTCGGAGGCCTAGGACAAGTACCTGGTGTGCTGATGCCGAAACGTGCTTAGAGTCACGCATTGGCTACGGGTGCACACTTGACCCAACAAAAAGTCGGGAAACATTGTTTGTCTTGAGTCGCAGGGGCTTCTTAATCATCGTAGACTTGACAACCTTCTGTTTGCATGTGTGCCTTGTGCTTCTGGCAGAGCATTCACAAGCGCTCATCGGGCAAACATGGGAGCCAGAAGCTGCTGAGATGTTGAGTCAGGTTGGAAGCTCTTTGAATGACCCGGCATCGCCACGAGGGCTCGATCTCAAGGGCCCCCAAGCCCCCACGAGCATGTTGGGCCAAAGAGACTAAGCTCGTAGCGCAGCATCGACTTGCAAGAAGAGAGCACCATACTGGTCACCTACTCCCATGAAGTAAGTTACAGTCTTCAACGAATCGACCTGGTCATGGGCATGTGGAGATGCTGCTCAAGAAGCGACGGGTCAGTAAACCTGTGGAGCCACCGTCGCCAGAGCCGGTACCAGAGCCAGTGATATGCCTCGATGATGATGTGTTGGAAGTGGGCTTCGCACCTCCCAGGAAGGCAGCAAGGCATGTTGCGATGCAGACAGCGCCACTGCCGAAACAAGCCAAACAAGGCAAAGCAGCAAAGCAAGCACTCGCAAAGGCATTGGCAAAGCAACCAGAGCCTCCAAAGCAAGCCGAGCCTCCAAAGCAAGCCGAGCCTCGAAAGCAAGCCGAGCCTCCAAAACAAGCCGAGCCTGCAAAGCACGTACAGGCTCCAGCGCAAATGCAACCTCCAAAGCAAGTGCAGACTCCAAAGCAAGTGGAGCCAGCCGTGCCTACAGGGCCTGCACAGGAGGCTGCAAAAGTTGCGCAGCAAGTAGCTACCCAGGCAGCACATGCAAAGAGAAAAGCGCCATCAAGTGAGTCACCAGCACCGGGAGCTCTGGGTGCTCGACTCTCCAGCTTAGCCCGCCTCATTGGTGAGGCGGAGATTTTCCCAGATGAAGGACGCTGTTCATGAGTCCATGAGCAGATTTTTGTTCCATGGCACGGGTCTTGTTGCAACAGAAGTGTGTCCTCTCTCGGAGGACCTCTAAGTGGCCACCTGGTTTCCGAGGAGGCTCCAGCTCCCCTGCCTGGGCCAACCTCCACATGGAAGGACTCAGGAAGCGCCACCTTGAAAGAGCCGCCTTGACAAATTCAGGAGCTTTGCATGGCCAGGAATGCTGAGTTACACGTGCTGTTTTCTTGCTGAAGTAATGTCACGCGCCCAGGTTGCTCTCGCTGGTTGAGAACACATCCCAGGATCGAGAAGCTGTAGATGATGGGCCAAAGTGGCAAGCAAGCAAGCGAGCCCAGCTGCTGTGCCTGGAGCTGAACGACTTCAAGTCCTTCAAGAGGAAAAAGATCGACCTGGAAAATCAGTCCATTCGCTGTCTTGTTGGTTGTAACTCTAGTGGAAAATCGGCCATCCTGGACGGGCTTCGCTTCCTCCTCGGAAGACGCTGCGACCGCGGCCTCCGAAGCTTCATCCGTCGGGGAAAACGAGATGCTGCTTCGGCAGCGCGGGTGATGGCCAAGTTCCGTGTCGAACGACCTGGAGATGGACCAGGCCAGGACGGCTCAGAAAAAGATCGAGCAAACAGACCAACAGAGACGTTGTCTTAGCCTGCTTGGCTGGCCAGTCTGCCCGGCCTTTAAACCCTATGGTCGCACACAGAGCACAGAGTAGCACGTAACGCAGCTCTAGCAGCTCAGACTCCAGCATCCCATGCAGCATCCCTTGCAGCATCTCTTAGGCACTGTGACGTTGATGCGGGAAGTTCGCGAGCACCCAGACTCGGCTGACAAAGAAGCCTACGTCACCTCGAATTGGGTATGCGAGGAGGCCGGTGAGCTTTCGGAGATCTCAGAAGCCGGATACAGAGAATGGCTCTCGAAGTCTCTTTTGCCTCTTTGCCGCAGATTGTAGTAGCAGGGACATGATACACCTGACAAGCGACACCCTTCATATTCGTCCAGGATTTCAGGGCCAAAGACCCCTCCCAGGTCCTTTGATGGTGACCTTCTCTTGCCTCAGTTTGGTCTGATGGAGAGTCGGAGCGCGACTGCTCTGTTGGCCATGATTCCGGCTGAGTTGGAGAAAGTGGGGGCCGAGCCTTTGCTAATGATTTTGTGCATCTGAGAGTCTTGCCAGCATTCGCTGACAGCCGAGGCTATCCAGGCTGCCGGACCCTTGCTGAAGCGCAAGACTGCGAAGACAGCAAGGCAGACATGTAAACCCTAACCCCCCCCCCAGGGCACTATGAACATAGCGTGGACATACTGTGGACGTACTGCTATGAAAACCACTGTGGATACTGCACACGTGTGGAGTCTGGACGTGCCTGTGCCATGCCCTCTAGGGCAAATCCTGGCACAGCCGGTGTGGTGCGTGCTGAAGCCTGGCTGTCGCGACGCGTCGATGAAATCTACAGACAGCTGACGCGCGAACCTGTCGATGACAGAATGGAGGCCTGTGCTTTCGTCCCTGCCGTATCTTGTCACAGCTCTGTCGGCATCCTGGGATACACTAGTTTTGAGTTTTTACTGCATCCTGTCTGACTGCTTGTAGGAATGGGGCGAGGGAGGACAGGCTCTTCTTCAGCGGCAGCCGGATGGCTCGTTTGATTTACTGACTTCCATGCGGCGGGGTGCTGCAGCTTGCGGCTATGGTACCCCCTTGAAGAGCCTGTCGGATGGGGCCAGGCAGCTTGTGCTTTGTTGTTGACATATATGTTGACACGTTGCAAGATACGCAGCTCGCTTTGGGATGCACTTATCAGGGACATTTGCGCCCTGAGCCTGCTCTTTGCCCTTCCGGGATTCATGAATGGCTGCTCGGTGGATGAGATAGGTTGCTTCTGAATGGCAACAGTGTGCTGTGCTGCTATAAGCCAGTCGGTGGAGCGATTCTCGCGCAGACTGCGGATGCCTAGGCATGCAAGATTCGCTGCCACCTTTTATGGTGCTGGATGAGCCGGACATTGTTGGCTTGCATGGGACGAAAATATCTCTAACTCGGCCAAGCATCGAACACGTCAGTTGCTGCGGGCCTTTGCATGCAGGACTCCCGGTTGGACAAGCGCCATGCAAGTGCACTGCGGGACTTCTTGCAGGGGCCTGACGGCCCCAAGCAGTGCATATGGATGAGCCACGAGCTTGGCTTGACGGTTCAGTTTGCTAGTCACGCAATCGTGGTTTGGTGGAGGTGTGTAGCAGATTGCATGCTCGTTCTCTGGCGGCCCAGCCAGGCCTGAACAATCATTCGGCGTTTCCTGAAGACTCTGTTCTGGAGGAGGAGGAGGCACAGCACAGTCCGAGATGAACAGTCCGTTGAAACAAGGGTGTCCACTTCACCACCCCTGTCCCAAGCTCCCAAACTACCCGTGAGAAAATGAGCTACTGGGTCGATGTGGTTTATTAGCCCGCAAGCCCAGAAGATAGCCCAGTCGCTGTGTGCCCTGCGGAATCAGCAAAATTCACATAGTTGGTGCTTACCAGGTTATAGTTCTGTAAGCTTCGTTTGGAACACGAAACGCGAGGGCACGCTAGCAATGAACATGTGAATATGTGACCGTTTTATATGCTGTATTTGATGCGCGATACGACTCGAAACGCCAAGGTGCACCTGCGAGGGCGTTGCAATCAGGGTTCAGAGTAGTAGTTAAGTCAGAAGTCCAGGGTGTTTAACAGGCCCCGGCGTCTTTCAGACCCACAACCATGTCGCACTCGTAGGTTCGAGTGCATGTTGGCCTTGCCAAGACAGGTCCGAGGCATCGTTCGGCATCGTTCGGGTATCGTTCTGACAACAATACAGACACCCCCATCCAAAGCCCATTTCTTCAGGTTACGTTTCAAATCGCAGTTCTGGAAAAATCGCTGTGCCCTGCGGGAAGGCTCTGCGAAACAGGCGTTTTTTCAGCGTCTCAAGCTAGACTCACGTGGCTATCACCGAGAGGTAGCTTCGAAAAGAAGTTCACGGGTGGATTCATGGCAGCGGTACTGTTTTATCGCTGTGCCCTGCGGGAAGACTCCGCAAAACATGCGTTTTTTTATAGGTACATCCTAGTCTTAAGATGCTATCCCCAAGAGGTAGAGAGTTTTTCCTATCATTATCGCATGATTTGGGACTTGTGTGCCCTCGGGATTTCGGTTCTGGGCTATCTTCTTGACATGTTGGGCTACCTTCTGTGCCGTGGGGTTGGGCTATCTACAAGGTGATTGGGCCAAGAAACCACGCGCGCTCGTATGTCGGGCTCCATGCAACCTCAGCCCAGCAACCCGGCCGGAACCATCCCGAATCCGCAGCGCCGCAGTGCCACGCCTGAGTCTGATGTGGGCCAAAGAAAGTCGATATTGAATATGAATTCGTTGAGATGGACCCTGAGATGGTCAAAATTCCTTCGAAAATGGGGTGAAGAAATTTGTCAGGATGCCTGTGAGACAGCGCTGCCAGAGAACTTGGAGCTGCTTCAGGCTGTTGAGTTGCCTTGAGCTGCCTTGAGCTGTTGAGGTGCATGTGCTGAGAATCTGCGGATATGTGCACCGATATGAGTGACACTGCTCCTGGCAGGCTGAGGAAGCACCTAAAGCCACACCGCCCGAAGCCCGGAAAGTAGCGGAACGCCCATAAGCCCCGGAGTGCTGTACGTCTTCAGCAAGGGTTGCTGTGTCTGGGTGTCTGCGCAGGGATCGGAGCGCACCGAGTGGCAGAGACCTCATCAAAGTCAGTTCCCGAGCATCTGAGCTGTTCAACACATCCAGCATCGTGTGATCTCTAAGCCGTCTGAGCCAAAAATCTGCCCTCGAGGTGAGGTTTCTCTCCAAAATGTCTGCTCGCATCAGAGAGGCCGGATCTTGAGAGAGGTGCAGCTTGGCCATCCTCAAAAAGGTCATGCTCTTGCTGCAATACTCCTGCTGCACCCATGCCCAAGGCTGAAAGGCCAGCTCTGAAACAGTAATGAGTCCCCCTAGTGTGCTTTTGCCCAGAGCCATGGTCGACCCAAGTGTGCATGCCTTCTTCGATCAACACCTGCGGCAGACGGCAAATCAGACCTGCTGCGATGGTGCTTCGCTGAGTTTGAGTGGCCCCCGCTTTCTATCTTGGATGTCTAGTCTAGATAGCGTCATAATGTCACTCGTCTGTGCAGTCGCAGGTGAGGGTATGCTACCTCGCTGGGCGTCAGTGTCCCACGGAATTTACATCAGTATTGAAGCTTCCGGAATCCACCGCAGCCTTGGCGTGGCAACAAGCTTTGTCCAGTCGCTTTACCTGGATGCTTGGAAGCCTGTCCATCTCAAGATGATGGAGCTGGGAGGCCGGGAAACCAACGACTTGAATCATTGAATCGTTGCCAGCTATCTTGACTAACCCCCCCCTTTCCCTAATGAAGAAACATGTCGAATTGGATTTGCGCGGAGTTGGTTCTGAACTCCAAAGGCTCAACCGCCCATTCCCTCATTTTGACAGGCTGAGATAGAGGGAAGGGGCTTACTGAAACCACCATGCGCAACCCAACGATTGAAGATTGTTGAGACCCGGCCGGAGCCTAGGCAATGAGCGATTCCAGAAGTTCATGAAGGCACATGGTGTACCAGAGGACATGCCGATCAGAGACAAGTATAGCACTCGCGCAGACCTTTGGCTGCAAAGGCTCTTCTTGTCTTGTAGCTGATGGCACGAGCAGCAGCAGTAACAGCGGTGCATATTGAGAGCTACTCTGTCTTACTGCATGCCAAAAGCTGTAGCCTGAGGCAAAGTGGTACCGGGAGGCCCTGGTCGTCTTATGTCGGGCGATGCCGCTTCTCCCTTCAGCTTAGTAGATCATAGTAGTAATAGTAATAGTAGTAATAGTACTGATAGTAGTAATAGTAGTAGTAGTAGTAGTAGTAGTAGTAGTAGTAGTAGTAGTAGTAGTAGTAGTAGTAGTAGTACTACTAGTAGTAGTAGTAGTAGTAGTAGTAGTAGTAGTAGTAGTAGTAGTAGTAGTAGTAGTAGTAGTAGTAGTAGTAGTAGTAGTAGTAGTAATCATAATAGTAATAACAGTAGCATGTTGCTATGAGAAGTACTGCCGTGGCACGAGAACACGTGATAACACGTGGCTTGTTCGGAGGCCCTTCGAGCAGAAGCCGAGGGCAAGCCTGGGCCAGAGCCTCTGGAGCCGGGAACTGGCCACCTTCCGGAAATCCCGGAATGCACAAAAGGCCAAGACTCGCGCTCCTGGGACGAAAGCATATTCGACTACTTCTCGGCTGTTTCAGCTTTGTGCTGTAACAGTTGTCACATCCTCCGACCCAAGTTGAGGCATGCTGGTAATGCATTTGGAGGTGCAGCCCTTGTGCCCAAGGTGCCACCTGTATTCTTCCTGAGTCTTGGGAAGAAGACCCGCCCAGGCGGGATGTCTACCCAGGGGATGCAAAGGTTTCGGGTTTAGGGTTTAGGGTTTAGAGAAGCCCAGTGCCTGTGCAATGGGAGGACGCGGTGCCTCTCCAAGGCACTACTTTTGCTTGGTTCTGGAGGCCTGCATTTTGGTAGAGATGATTGGAATGGAAGAGTTCCCAAAAAATTCCCCGGGCCGAAATTTCGCCAGCCTTCGGGCTGCATAGGGTCACGGAGGGTCACGGTTGGGGCTTTTTGAGCTGCTTCTTTCGATGGTCAGACGTCTGCAGGACGGCTCACAAGCCGAGACGTATTTGCTGAAAGCAAACACGAAGCAGATTCTCCAGCCTACGACGTCGATCTCGACAAGTCCTATCTCAAGGAGCCTCGGCAATTTAGGGCTTTCTCATCGCTCACCAAGACACCAAGAGTACTAATTACAACTGAATTTGGCATGCCAGGCCTTGCTTTGCGTGTTCTGACAGACGTCTTAAGAAACTGCTGCAGCGTTGTATAGGCAGCATACGAATTAGCCGTCGGTGTTCTGCAAAAACAGGCCGACCATTTGCCCGTCAAATGTACAGACCCAGCCACCGTAGGACAGGACAGACAGATCCTGATTCTGCATTGTGCCCGTAGCATCGAGAATCAAGCATCAAAGTTTAAGTTGAAGAGTTTATAAGAGTCTAAAAGAGTAATTCGAGCTGATCTTCTATCTTTTTCTTGATTCTGCCTGGTGCACGGCGCAAATGCAGCTTCGGTGCTTCGGTACGTAGTCTTCGCATGAGCCTGTTGATGCTCAGTGCGCGGTTTGCTCTAGGCGTAGGCAAGCACTTGGCTGCATGTGCCGAGAACAGTAGTCCGAGAACTCGGGTAGGCGTCTTGGCCTTGAGAAGTGCATTGCGCTTATCTGAAACAAGATATTGCGAGCCATCTTTTGTGGGGAGAGAATCCCCAGCAGGATCAACCTGTTGGTCAGAAAACAGCGTTGTGCTATCAGGAAGCTGTGGAAGCTGTGGAAGCGTGCACCCAGTCGCGTTCCCTGTCCATCCGTCTCGCAGGAGAACGAGGCAGACATGGATGAAGAAGAACAGCCTGAGATGCTTTGACAGACAGATGCCTCCGACAAGATGTGGGCCTTCGGCCGTAAATGGTCATAGTGCGGTAGGAAGTTATTCAAGCACTGCAAGCTGCACCTCACCTGCATAGTCTGTCAAGCAGCTCAGAAGGCCGAGCCACGGCGTACCATTAATGTAGTCTGTAGATTCTCATCAGACTGTAGCCACTGTAGTCTGTAGTAGGAGAACAGAATTTGCCAGCAGCATGTGGCCGTTGCACGATTAACAAGTGCTGGGCCGAGATGGGTTGGACCAAATGGCGCGCAAAGGCTGCTTACTGAAGCTGTAAACCCAGTGTGGGCAGGTGCCGTGCTTGGTAGTGCTTGGAATGCCGCTTGGAATGCCGCTTGGAATATGCAGCTCTTGGAGCGTCTCGCAACCGCTGCATGGCGAGCATTGGTCGGCTCGATTGCTATTGACAGTTTTCCCTTCCATGGGCTTGTGTGGCTGGCGGGCAGGATTGGGGTACAATTACAAGGCCTCCATGGGCAACTCCGAGATGTCTCGTGTGTTCGTACCGATGCAACGTGATGGTTCTGTCGGTGTTTTTTGGCACGACCTGGAAACTGCAGTGTAAATCATGAAATAGCTGTTTACGGTTCCGGTTCATTGAAGGGCGGCTCTCCCTTCAGCCTCGTGAACAGGAGTGGATCAGGCTGATGCAAGTTTCGGAAGGCCGGAGCTGATTCACTGATGCCATGCCTCTCTTGGTGGTGTCTCCTGTTCCTGAGCCGAGGCAGCACCTCCAATGAGCGGCAACCTCGGGTGGAAAATTAGTGGGAAGTTAAAGCCTACAACAAAGCAGGCTTTTGTGTACATACTTGATATCAAAAGGAGCATATGAGCTCAAACACGGCTTTTGTCAGGCTGGTATGTTGGTCACGATGGACGACAGGCACTCTGGCCAACAAGCAAAGGGTTTGCTCTCCAGTGCAGCTGAGTGCAGGTCTGGGTTGAAGCCCGCGAGACCGTGTTCACTTGTGACAAACCAGAGGCGGGAAAAACAATCCACGGCAGCAAGCTTCTTTGGGCGGCTTTGGCCCAGCTTTGCCATCTTGCAAGGACGTGTTGCCGAATCGACAGCTGCTAGAAGCCCAGAAGCAGACCAAATCATGCCATAGCTGGAAGAGAAAGAATCGGCGAAGAAAGTATCACAACGCAGCCTAAGGACATATTTGGCCTCCAACTTGCAGAAGACAGTGTTTGCGGAGCATGCAGTCGATGATGACGACGTGAAGAAGGGCAAAAAGAAGGACCCGAGTACCACAAGCCCCAGTCGTAGAAGCATGTAGCAGTTGTCGATAGCTGTCTCAACATGTTCGTATAGGACCGGCAAGCCGGACGGCAGCGTGGGTTTATCGTGTCGGGACCCATTGTCTAGACGTGACCAGCATTAGCTGACTGCTTGACGCACTGCCTGAGGCGGGTGGACCAGGACGAGCGGGTCAACGTCCTTCTTCCGGTGCAGGCACTACCTGCTGACGACCTGCTGACTTCATCCATTTTGTCTCCGTCATTGAAAAATTTGCCCTTTCCCAGCCTGCCGTGGACAAGCTCTTGACTAGCGGCGCCGTTTCACGTGTGGATTTGGATGAGACTGAAGGCAAGAAGAGGCCGTCGTCGCAACAGTTCTTACTTCTTGTGAAGAACTCTCTTGCAGCCAAGTTGCAGGAACAAGAAAGGTCGCGATGCTGAGCAGGCGGCTTGTGTACCGATTCGCTCGGCGTCGTGGCGATCTGCCCACATAGTCCTGCTCGATGTTCGTATGATTTTTTGTTGTATCGAGGGAAATCATCACAAACCATGCCCACTCCTAGTAGACGATCGCATTCGCGGCAGTCCGAACAGAATGCGGCGAGCGAAAGGCTACAGAGGAACCTGAACCGACTGGACTTCCACTCGGAGTGAACGAGTGCCGAGCCCTCCCCTCAGATTGTTCACATATTATGTGCAGTCTGCTGTAAGTATACAAACTCCCTTCGAGTGACACAGTTGCCAGTTGCCTTTTCTGTCAGGTGGAGACCATTGCAAGATGTCAGCACCAGGCACATGGAGCGGGGACCTTACAAGACCCCGGTGCTGCGGAGAGTATGTTGTCCAAATGCGCCCAATGCACTACAATGAGCCTGTTGCACGACGGGTACAGGTTGGATTCACCATCTTGGTTTCCGAGGGCAGTTCAAAACAGAGGACAGCACCAAGAAGTTCTGCACTTCCATGATACCTTTGGGTCCCATGCAAGGATACACTGTTTCACGGCAAACAGGGAGATGAGGCTGCAGGAGTGGCACGACAAGCTGGTGCAGGCAGCCTCAGGAGCTTGCAAGAGGAACCTCTTGGCGCTGACTTGCTCTTTGCAGGCTCTTGCAGCTGGCGGCACACGTGTGCTGCATGCCGCTTAAACACTGTCAAACTCACATATGAGATGCACGATTCGCAGAGATCAAAGCCAGAGGCCCCATGCTTTGAGAGAAGCATATTAAGGATGGGCCGAATGTCGCCCGCCTTGGCGCCCGATCCACCAGACAGCAAGGACTTTCCTGTTCGCGCAAGGCATGGGTGTCATGTGGTGGTAGGCCCTGGTATGTGTATGCTCGATCCTGTAGTGGTGCAGCTATCTGCAACTGGCACCTGCAGAAACTTGTGGCTGGCATCGCCTAGTCTGCATGGTAGCAAGGGATCCGGCAGCAGATGCGCAGGACGTCAAAGCCCAGAAGGAAGCTGCCAAAGAAGAGGTTACCGGCCGCTAGCCCCGAAAATCTCCAGCTTCCGCTTGAAGACTTTGGACGGCAGGATGACTGGTTGGATTCGTTGATGGGACGCTGCATGGTCAGTTCTGACAAGGCTGACAAGGACATCTGAAACTTCGAGCAGCGCAAACATTCAACCTGCCCGCTAGAAATTCGTTGGGCAGAATTCGCGACACGAAGCCAGGGAGTTCTTGTGTTGACAGCCAGTGCTCAGCGCCCTGGACCAAAGGATTTGAGAAAAACACTCACTGTGGCGCCGAAACTGCTGTTGAGGGTGGAGTCTGTTGGGGGGGTGAAATCTTAGCATGGTATTTATTGGTATTCGTACTGTTGCATGCCATGTTCCCTCCTGTGTCAGCCGCAAGCACGAGCGCAGGAGGCCCCAAAAGTGGACCCCGCAGGCTCCGCAGGCACCTCCAGAGGGCCACAGTTAGAGCACCACACTGTAGCACGATATACCATGATATACCCTGGATGCTCAAAGGTGGCTACAACAAAGACAGCAAGGATGAGGCGCACTTCTACTGAAAGCTTCTGGTAGGCTTCTCCAATCTGCACTGAGCGCAAGGCCCCAGCTGCAAAAGCAGTACAAGTTCCTCCCTGGTTGCGCCGGCGGTGAAGTTTGGTCTCGAGCATTCGACAGTGCACTTTGCGATGCAGCCCGAAAACAAGGAATTGTGTGAAGGTAGATGTAAGAGAAGCTTATCCCAGACGTTCTGAAGCCGAGCTTAGCCTAGCTTGGAGCTGTCATGCAAGCAGAACACCTTGCCTCGTGAGCTCGGGACCGTGCCATGTTCAGGCGAGTGGCTGCTCTGCTACATATACTGCAAATTTGCTAATTCTTGAAGAGTTACACCGTTGCAATGTAGCTGCACACCCGAATGAAACGATGGTGAAGCTTTTCCGCAGCCATCTTGGCTCGTGACGGCGCAACCTGAAAGCTGCTGGAAGCCCTCGAGGCATCCGAGGCATTGTTGCCCAAGTTGTTGTTCCCAGGAGTTGTTGTTCGTGGGCATGACTCCCATATACTCGCATGGCTACCTCATTCTGCCAAGCAGGCGCGCTTCCTTCCGGAGAGGCCGAACTGCTGAACAAACCTGAACAGTTGGCATGTCATTCCTCATGTCAGCATCACTGGCCACTGTCTCGAGCAGATGGGCACTGTCGATGCAGATCTGGCATACCTCAAGAAAGAGGCTGGGCCGAAGCTCTGGTCTTGTCAGATGTCTTGCAGCCTGCAAACCTTGCAGGATGTGTATGCGCACCTGGGGAAGGTAATCGACAGAGTGGTGGCCAGCTGGCTTAGATGCTGTATGCTCTGCGACAGTCAGAGCAGTGGGTTGCAATGGCTCTCCAGGTACTTGCAGTAGCTAAGCGCACATCATCTGTTCCTGGTCTGGATTTTTGTTTTTTCCCCGGCTTGGGGGCTCTCTCGGGCGGATATTGTACGATTCCGACTTACGATTCCGATAGAGGCAGGGAAGTCGTGCCGTGTTCACAGCAGCCAGATGACACGAGCGTCTACATGGTCAAGCATGCAACTATGCAAGAACGGAGCGATGAGAAGCTGCGCACTCCCATTCGTCCATGCCAAGAAGAGATTTCCGTACTGAAGTTCACTAGGCTTTGCGCGGGCAAAAGCCTTCTCAGGTACAAGACATCTTCTTTCTCAATGCCAGTGCTAAGATCATGCTAAGGACCATAATGACGAGAATGGGAAGTAGCGAGATATCTATCGTCATCATGGTCATGGTATTTGTAACGAGACACAATGATGATGCCTGATAATCAGAACGCGTCCATATGAATAATGTTTTTCCTCTTCGTGGCACTGATCATCTGCAGTTCGACAGCTCCTAGACATTGGATGCACACTTCTGTGGTCGGACAATGCGACCATAATATGAGGGGTGCAATTCGAATACTTTCCACACTTCTGGACAAACCGATCTGCTTTGATTATCATTGGTCATGCTTCTCACCTAGCGAGGGGGATCACAAGACACTCTTGGGGTGGTGGTGCTGCCACAGAAGAATATGCCGAGGCTTCTGGCACCATGATGGCGCACACGCACCTTAGCCTTCGTCTCCCCGAGGGCCAAATCAATCAAGACAAGACAAGTTGCCCTTCGTAAGAAAGCGCGCACAGAAAGCGCGCTCGAGCCGAGTTACGTCAACCTCGACCTGATGCTAACATCAGCCGTCTTTCAAGGCGAGCAATACTGCGCCCAGAAAGACCATTTTTCATGCAGGCCCCGCGCGAGCAATGCGTTTCCCATCGATTTCTACGAGGTCTTTGGAAACGGCCAAGGTGTAATTCCCCCCCAAGCCTATCATGTTTGGTTTGTCCATGTTCGGAATACCCCTCTCACAGAATGTTTCAAGCCACGCGATCTGACCTGGTCATACACGTTGATGGCTCCCATTTTTTATTAGAAGATATGCGTCTTGTTGTCGGTGTCAAGATCACGCAGCATCATGTCAGACGATGAGATGACTCTGATGGCAGATTTTTTTCAAAAAGTTCATCAGCAAGGGTTGAGGGCTGATCACACAGGATATAGTTCAGTACCCTAACCACCCTAATTACCCCAACTGCCCTAAGTACCCTAACTACCCTAATTACCCTAATTGCCCTAAGTACCCTAATTACCCTAATTACCCCAATTACCCCCTCGTGGTGCCGAAGACTTAGGCGGAGAAGCCGAAGGATGCCTGCAGCCTGGTGGAGGTGTCTCGAACTCTCCCGGAACTCTGGGTGAACTGGTGCACAGGAAGTTCACTTCTTTTTTGTTTTCGTGGAGTTTTCCTTGGACAGTGGAGTTTCCCTGGATCCCCGAGGTGCTTAGTAGCTTTGTCAAGGAGCAAGCTGTAGCACCAGCAGCGGATGCTGGTGCCATGCCAGAGGCAGAGGCGCGCGGCAACTTCGATTTTGTGTATCCCTCCACCTTTCCCCCACACAGTTTATCTCTCTCTCTCTCTCTCTCGTTCTCCTCCCTCCCTGTTTGTTACTTTTTTCGGTTTTCTTGTTTTTTTTGTTTTGTTGTTTTCCTCGTTCTCTCCCTCTGTATCTCTCTCTCTCTCTCGTTGTCCCTCTCTGTTTGTTACTTTATAGTTTTGTTTTTTACATTTGAGTTTTTTTGTTTTCCTCTCCCTCTCTCTCTCTCTCCCTCTCTCTCTCTCTCTTTCTCTCTTGCTCCCTCTCCACCTCTCAGCATGGACGTGCAGTCCTGCAGAGGATGTCGCCAACCGCGTCAAGAAGCTAAGGTTGCTGGACGAGGCTAATGCTGGGAGCTGTTCACATGTTTCAAAACTATGGCTCGAGCAGCTGTCTTGCCATAGGGCTCGCAATTTCGTAGTCACTGCAGTCATCACATTACTTGCGTGTTCGGATTGGGGGCGATGCCCGCCTCACAAACAGGATGCATGTCATTCGGAAAGGGGCTCGCGAGTTTAGGATTGACCATTGATCACTTTTGCTTCGAGGCGCCAACAGAAGAGGGGGCGGCAATCCAAGTTTGCACGTACCTCCGCCCCAGATCTTGGTCTGAAGTTGAATCACACACCAATGCCACATGGAACACGCAAGTGTCTCTCGCTGCTGCACTCTCAAGCACAAAAGCTTGTAGTAATCTGCATAGCCACGTTGTCAGACATCCAGATCGGAGGAGACATGCTTGAACATCACAGATGTTTTTCGAGCGAAGCTAGTGCCACTGGTAGCCTCTCGAAACCAACTGGTGTACTCTCGATGACGGTGCTTGCCAATTCGCAAGATGGCAGCGCCGGACTCTGCACGGGTCAATACCAGTACTGAGTTTGGACTTTCGCTTGCTGACGGCCGTCACACAACACATTAAAACGCGTACATTATTGCATGAATGGATGAACACGTTATTCCATGGCGAGTTCTCAAAAGTGTGGTCCCCTTTTGGGTACCCTAAATAAGAGGGGCCGCTTGATAATAAGGACCCCAAAAGGGACCACATTTTAGAGAAGCGACCATATGATTATATAATTCCGCTAGTACATTACTATACCGTTGCATCATATTTTGAATATTTTACATGCGTATATTCGTAGATACCGAATTATTTTCTGATTGTATTACTAAAGTACTATCTTACATTGTTATATGACTAGGTTACTCTACTGTTGTTTGCAACTTATATTAGAAAAAACAATATATATATATATATATACACACATATTTCTACTACTACATTAGTACATCATACTGTTATCTTAGGATATCACTATTGCTATCTTATTATACTAATGTACTGTTTTCTAGGTCACATAGTTAAATTTATATTGTTTTGTCATATTCCATTAATACACCAACATGCCGTTATTACTAGGCTATTCGATCATTATGCAACACCTAGGCCTAAACCCCAAACCCCTAAACCCCTAAACCCCTAAACCCCTAAATCCCTAAATCCTAAACCCTAAACCCTAAAAACCCTACTACTATCTCGAAGTCTAAGGCGCCACGGCGATATTTGACTTGATGGCGCAGTTCCTTGACCTCTGCCACTTCAGCGCAGCGGCAGCTGCCATCAAGGCAGGGAACTTGAGAGCGGTCTAGGGTTTAAACCCCTAAGCCCTAAACCCTAAACCCTAAACCCTGAACCCTGAACCCTAAACCTTCCGGTTTCAAAAAATAGGGTTTAGGGCGAAGTGCTCTGTGCCAGGCCCAATGCCGAGAGAAGCCTCCAGCTTTCGAGGCCATGGGTTGCACCACAGTGCCGTAGAGGGCCGTAGGGTTCCTCGCCAACCCAGAACCCTAAACCCAGAACCCTAAACCCTGAACCCTGAACCCTAAACCCTTTACTAAACCCTAAACCCTAAACCAGGTTGTGTGTGCGGGATTGCTGAGGTCTTGTGGGTTCTGTATGTTATGCCATACAGATCACTGCCTGTCATCTTGTGCATGGAAGAAGCCGCAACAAAGCACGGCATTTCAGTCAAGAGGATCTGCCGTCGCCTGTCGTGGCATGCTAAAACAGCCATTTGGCATCGTGATCTTGTTTGCATACCAACAGACAACAACCCTGAACAATCTGGAAAGAATTCCGGCTTGTAGGAATCGCTTGAAAGGGGCCCGACAAGGAAGAGGAACAAACCCAAATGCATTCGGACCTCAGTCCAAATGCGTTCGGACGCCTGGGGCTCCTTCCAAGCCACCATACATCCCGAAGCCCCGTCTGGAATGAGTGGGGCGAAAGCCAAATGCCCCTAAACCCGGAACCCTAAACCCTAAACCCTAAACTTCGGGCAGGCTGGGGCCTTCCAGGCATGATTTGGTTTTCCTCTTGCGAAAAGCAAGTCAGAGGTTGGCCGGGTTCATAGACACGGTGGCCTTTTCGATACTGTGTTTCAGAACAAGCAAAACCCTGAAAGTCCTGGACACAAATTTGGCATTTCGGGAGTCCCGCAAAGGGCCCGGAATTACGACAACTTGCCCAAGTGCCTTCTTAAAGGCTGCCCCAATGCATGCGGGAGCTGCAGTATACAATGGGCAAAAAGCGGATGCAGACAGGCGGCAATATCCCAAACACCCCCCGGCCTGAAGCGACAGAACTCCAGCCGACAGTTTACAGGGAGCCTAGCCGCAGTGAGTAGAACAACAGCCCCAGATGGGCGTGACAGAATCCAGCATACTGACCGACATGATTCCAACAGCCCCAAGCTGTGGGAAGCAAGTGGGAGACAAAGAATGACGGCGTCGAGCGTGTCAGAGACTAGTGGGAAAGAGATGGCTCCACCAGTCCCAGACGGGCGTAATGGAACAAGTGGAAGACAAAAGAGTGACAACCGTCCCAGACGACCATCACAGCATCCAGGCTGTGGGAGACAAGTGGGAGACAAATGGGTTATACAACAGTCCCAGACGGGAATCGCAGGAGCAAAGGTGTGTGAGATGAACGGGAGAAACATGAGGAACGATTTTGAGTGTAGTGCCGTGAGAAGTCCAAATGAACGTCAGCTTTTGCTTGTTGAAGAGTGTGAGCCCCCCAGCAAAAAGCCGTTTAGAGGAGCAAGTGGGAGACAATAGTCCCAGACGGTGGAGACAACAGTCCCAGACTGATGTCGCACCATCCAGGGCTTGCTTACTTCAAAAAGGGAGACAAATGCGAGAAAACCAGCATCCGAGGACGAGACAGATGGGGGACAACAGTCCCTGAAGCAGCGTCGGGACACATGGGAGACAAGCGGGAGACAAATGAAAGGTAACATGTAGCACCGTGCCGGAGAAGTCCTACATGAACATCGAAGACATCCTTTGTCGAACAGATTTTTCAGCCCCAGCTGAAGCCCGTTTGGGAATTCTGATATACACTGTACTACTCACATGTCAGCTGAGCTGTGGCTCGTAGCGGCTTCAACAAATATGTTCATGTGCAGGTGCATTCCCATGGAGTTGCATCGTACAAATACAACAAGCAGTCTGTTCATGAGATACTTCAGGATCTGCTACTGTACAAAAACAGCACACAGACATGGTAGTTACACGCCAATTCAGGTTTTCTAATTGTTCACAGTTTCTTGACCATGATTGGTGCTTCTCTCCACTGACTTAGCCAAAGATTGCCAGCTTCCAGCCCTGACATTTTCCCCCTGCAGACATGGCTCCGTTTTTCACCACCAAACTGTCACTTCGGGATCTCAGCCCTCAGCCTCGCTTGAAGTTTAGGGTTCAGGGTTTAGGGTTCAGGGTTTAGGGTTTAGGGTTTACGCCGCCAGAGGATGCTTCGAAGTTGGTGGGTGTTTTTGGTGCAGGCCCAGTTGCTGAAGTCTTTCAAGACTCACCTGGACAACTGCGCCCTACTGCTCACTGATCTTGAGGCTTGTGCTTCATGAATGTGCTTCCGATGCAACAAGTCTCCAGCAGTTCTTTCAACGCAGGCGATACAGCCGAAGCAAGTGGACCCACAGCAGGCTCCCCTTTGGACCGCGATCCCTGCAGGATGCATAGAATGTGCCATTGCAGAACTCGCGCATTGGCCTCAGGCCTCCTTGCATGAGCTGCTGGATGCGCTCCTTCGCAAGCTCATGGCCACTGGGTGGCTTGGCTTGCGTGGTCGTAGCCGAGCTTTTTGAGGGCTGTGGCGGTTGTGCCGTGCCATGATATCTCATGTGAATCCATGTAACATACTTTGAAGTCAGGCAGTCTTTATCGGATGAGAAGTTGTTGACGTGCATTGACGGGGCCTTGAAGAGCGACGCCTTCCCCAAGTTCGCCGTGACGGACGCACAACTTTTGCTGCACACATGTAGCAGCCTGAATAGAGCTACCTGCTGTCTCCTGAACCCTTATCTGCCGGCATGGAAACAACACTGACACAACATGGCCACGTGCTTTTGAACTTCACCTCAACTCACGTCTGACACAACCTTGAAAGCCACGGAATCACTGGATCACACTGTGGCGGAGGGGTCGCCAGTTCTTGAACAGATGTTGAGCAGAGAATCGCCCCACACGTGTGAGCTCAATTCCATCCGCGCTTCCGGGCCGGAACACTTGAAGGGCGGATGCGTTCTATGCAAAACTTGATGGGCAGTCCAACGCATTTGAGCTGCGCTTGAACAAAAAGGCTTTGACGTTGATTACAAGTTTAAGCCGACAAGAACTTGGGATTGAAAAATTGAAACCGAATGAAACCGATCACAAGTATTTTTACCCGAAGTGCAGTATGCGGTGGCTGAAATCGGCTCACCCCGTGTGCCTGCTTGGAATTGGCTTGGGGGGGTGCAGCTTCGGGTTAAAGTCGATGTTCAGCGGCTACTCCAAAATCTGTTCGTTTAAGCCGCTTCCTTAAATCGCAGTTTGATTTTTCAACGGTTGAGGCGGCCAAGTGTCTCAGCACTTGCTTGAGGTTGCCTGATGCTGCGGCGCAAGGCGTTGTCAGTTGAAGAGCACCCGAACGTTGGAGGCGAAAGAATGATTCTCTGGCTGCCGCCTGCAGCCAATGTTGCCCCAGGTTGCCACCGAAAGGCCATGGATGGCTTGACATCGAGTTGAGCTTCGTGGGCAGAATGCTAGTTTTTCAATGGGCCGCCTTGCAATCGACTCTCGACAAGGAAACCATAGACAACCTGTCGGCTCAAAATTGCTTTACGGCCAAAGATAAGACCAATTCCAGCCAACCCCTGCGGCGACTTTCAAGATTCGGAGGTTTTCATCCCCCGAGAGCCAGCTACCATGTCCCATTTTCCAATAGCGAACTTCCAACTCCAATTTGATTACGCTCCCAGGGCTGCCCTGTCATGTACCCAGCATTGCCCGCCATCATCTCCAGCATCGAACAACGAGGGCTTGCGGATCCGGGCACGCGGGCGTTGATACCATTGACGTGGGCTAGGTCGCGCGCTCACAGACTCTTTGATCTTCGCTCTGTGTTTCTTTTGGGCATCTGTGGCCTATTGTGGCCTTGTTTCGTACATGGGGCCGGCTTCAGCAAACAAAAACGCAGCAAGGAACCGGTCCAGCACCCTGAGCTTTAGTCCATGTGACCTCTCAAGTTGACAATTCGCGCCTTTGCGTTATTCTTGCAACGGCCATCGGCGGCATGATTTTTGATTGTCGTCTATGAATTCATGAATCGTGAGGGCATTGCCCAGAGCGGGCTACCCTTAAACCTGAGAAATCTTAGAATGAAGCCTTCTACTTGTATGAAGAGGCGTGCCGTGAAACAATGGCCAGGAGAGTTCGGATGACAAACCCGGCGCCGTGCTCGACATCCTGAACACCAGCGATGTTGATGCGTATAGGCTCTTGGCCCATTGGTCTTTCCAAGACACGGTGGAGTCCTCCAGTGCATCATAATGGCATGGTTCATCAACCAGGTTTTGGGAGAGCATCTCAAAGGAGACGTCCAAGACGGAGGCGCTGCAATGCGTGCATGCAGTATGCTTCAGCTTTAGAGAGAGTACAGATCTTGTCGGGCATCGCTTCTGGCAGGTCCCTGCGCTACCCGAAGCGATCGAGACAACTCCGACGGAGGCCTGGTGCCTCTGCGATCCCCAAGACCTCCAGACGGTGTCTCTGAGCGCACCTCTGTCAAGGGCCAGACGCCGCCTGTCACGGAGTCGCAACCGAAGGAGCCTGCTTCGCCAGTGCCACAGACACAAGTCCATTGCTGGCAGAACGCTGGGACCGGCCATGGACGAACCATGAACTAAGGTCTGCGCATTATCCACCCAAACGTAGAAATGCGAGTCAACAGGAGGCAGCTGCAGTTTTTTCTTTCGCTCTTGCTTCGCATGGAGCTGGAGTTTCTGTCAGCTGCCGCAGCTGAGTGTAGAGCATCAGCCTGATGGATTGTGGTATGCACTCCGTTCCTTTTTTAAGTACAATGTGTGATGGTTGTTGAGGACTCGGTTGTATAGACCTTCATGGGACCGACGGGATGACATGTCGAAAGAGCAATCGTGCCAGATATGGGACGTCGATGACGAGTATCACGATGACGAAGATCCGGGCTATCGAATCCGGGAGATTTACGAGGCACGTGAGTGGCATGTTTTGGTAAATGTCGGGAGTCAAGACCTTCCCAAAAATCTCTGTGTCGGTGAGGCAGAGCTGCTTGCCGAGCTCTCACAGAAGCTGGGCTCAACGAAGTCAGAGACTCCTGCCGGGGCCTCTTCCAAGTCTCTTCATGCCCGAGCCTTCCAAGCTTCGCCACGCAGGCAGCCGATGAACTGACATCAGCTGCTGCAGCCGAGCAAGGCCAGAGAAGCTCGGTGTTGCGAGTGGGTGCGCGTATTTCAAGGTGTCACGTACCATCAGGGACTATCAGCTCTTTCCTTCTAGCAGTTGGCTCCAAGAGCGTGCGTCCGAGCAGGTGATGCCCCAGCTGAGACGGCAGCCAATCCTCAGTCCCCAGAGCCAGGTGGATGCTGGCAGATTGAACAGCAACAGCGTCTGCCTTCTCCGCTGCACAAAAAGCACATGTTTGTTGTGTAGGCCAAGGTTTCGTTCTTCCGTAGAGTGGCAGGCTCTGATTCCGGTGAGAAGGCAGGAGCCGGGGCCCAGGCAAAGCGGAATGGAATGGTCCGACCCGGATTTGAGATATGTGATGAGACATGTGATGTGACCATGCGGAATGTGTATATCCTTGTACTGAGGAGGATGCGGTCAGCGAGGCGAGAGCATGTGGCGCAACTACGAAGTCTCTAGGGCCTCTACGACTCGATCTTCGTGCCCAAGACCAGCTCTTGGGCTTAGGGCTGTTTTAGGGTTTGAAGGGTCTCTTCCCTTGTTTATACACACTTCGAAGCTTCTGGGCCAGGCCTTGGGTGCCACTCCGCAAGGAGGTTCCGAGAGAGAGGTGGCAGCGGGTGTCTGCTCAAGTCCCCTCTGTGATGTTTGAAACCGTGAATCCCCTGCAGCCACGCTCTGCGTCACCTACATTTGGCGGCGCACCTCCTGACGATGCCGCGGAGGACTCTGCACATTTATTGCTTCGAATAGTTAAGGAAGAGTGAGGCAGCGACTTGATGCGACCTGGTTCAACGCTTGCTGGTCACCATGCTTCCAGACAGAAGACATTCTTGGGGAGAAGGAAGGACAAGTACAACGCATCGAGGAGTGTCAACCACAATGCGTTCCACTTACGGGCATCATTGTTGGTGTCCACCAACACTCTTGTAACGGGGCTCAGGAGGGGGTCTGTGCCCCCCCCCCCCCCCCCCCCCCCCCCAAACCCCGCCCGCTCTAGCAAAGGATTTATCAAAAACGCCCACCAGTTCGTTTGAACTGTGAGAAATTGATGTTGAACCTTCGCTGTTGACCGGCGGACTGTTTTGCAACTGTCGCGGTGCAGGATTGTTTAAACATTTTGCTTCGGGCTTGGTCTTCTTGTCCTCTTCAATCAAGTCGAGTGGTGCTTGATACGCTCACAGATGCTGCTCATGGTATGCTTGGAAGAGGACACTGCAGTCAGCGGACCCCCTGATGCGGAAGGCCGATGCGATTCTTACCGATCTAATGTTGGCCAGCAATAGGGTGCTCAGATGTGCTCAGCCTCCGCTTCTGAGCCTACGCTGCAGGAGAAGGAAGTCCGCTGAATTCTGGCACGCCTCGTACCGATGTGCTATTGAAGCCTGTCAAGTCACACGATTCAGGGCCATGACAAAGCTTCAGCTTCTGGGCGGATTCTGCCAGCGAGCTACGGGCCAGGTGTGCGACAAGACGTAAGCTTTCCTCAAACACCCACAAACCAGGCCGGGCACGACAGCTGCAGGATGCTGCAGGAAAGCTTCAGAGTGGCCACAGTTTTTCCTTCCTTAGTTGAGGCGAATGAACCGACCAATTGCACTTCAGCTCAATGCTTCTGCCAATTCACGTGTATAGCATGGAATGAGTCCAAGCTGCAGCATCCTTCGCAGGGTCAAATTGTAGCGCAAGATGTGTGACAAACTCTGTACACTAGGAAGCTAGGATAAGCTAGGCCGTGTTGAAGCTAATATGCACGACAGCAGCAGCATCGCTGGGACTGCACTTCACAGGGGTCTTTAATTTCCTTTGCCTGCTATGTGAAGCTAGTTGTTATGCCTGCGCCGCGTGGTGAAACCTTCCTTCAGAAGGCTGGTGCCTCAATTGTGCCGTCACTTGTCGCCTGGGTTTGTCAGCCAGAGCCCGGGGCCAGCCTATAATCTGGAAAGGTATGTGGTTTAGCTCGCAACCCACTAACACTAGAACAACGATGTATAAGGTTCATGAAAACTCGTTTCAAACACATTACGTTCTTGTTACTCGTGCACCCGATAAAGAGCTGCCAGGGCATCCTTCGACCGGAGCATCCACTCGCGATGACGACGTCCATGCTACCAGTGCTGTATTGGCCAGAGCATACATGGAAAAACAAAAAAGCACACGCCCTCAAAGCACCGCCACCTTAAAAGGCGTCTTGCAGAGAACGGAAATCAACATTTTGTTTTCACGGCGTTGCTTCAACATGTCTTCGCCCAGGCCACACCTCACGTTTCGAATACACAGCTCATTGTCACCAAGACGGCAGCATGTTTCAGATGAGAAGCGTCATGACCTTTCAGGTCTCGAAGGAACTCAGCGCAGCAGCATCAAGGCGCCAAAGCAAAGGTAAAAGTTTCGAAGGTGCGCTCATGGCGAGATGTGACGAGTCGGATCTTCCTTTGGCCGTGAGATGCGATTGCCTTCGTGCAGGTGTTGATTCTTCGTCACTCCTTGCGCCGAGAAAGCACGAGAACGGGCATGTGTCATTGCCTTGATAAGTTTCAACGCAACGTATTCAGCCTTGGATTTGCGGGCATGGCCATCGTTTGCTGCTGCCCTTGGATGCAGCATGTGATCATGACAGCTTTAGGATCAGCTCCAGCGCGCGAGTGCGCCTGTCCCCAGCTGTTGGGCAAAGAGAAGTCGAGCTGAACTCCTCTAGGCCGCGGCGCTTTGGCATGGGCTGCTGCAGCTGCCAAACTGTGCCCCTGCCAGGCCGGAGCAGACGCCAAAAAGGAAGGACAAGGACTGGATTGATGGAAAATCTGGCTGAGTCAAGGAATCACTGCATCCCGGACATCTCGGCATCTCGATCTCTTGGCCTTTCGCGCGATTCGAACCTGGGCCAGGACACCTCAAGACGAGCGACGCCGAAGTGCGCCAACGGGGCAGCCACAAGGAACGCTCTCACCGTGGAAAGGGAAGGCTTGATCCCTAAAGGGTGTCTCAAATGTCTCAAGACTAGCATCAGCTACACGATCCGCAGATTGATGCAGATGTTAGCCCCAGGCGTTCGTGCACGTCATGGCCATCAAAAGAAGAGAGCATCCACTGCGACAGACGTGGATGTGGCGTTCGAAGAGGCCATGCTTTCAAGTGAGAGGTCAGAGTCCTGTTGCCTGTTGCCCGCCAAGCTTTGTGCGAACAAGGCTAGCAGGACCAACTTGGGCAAAAACCAAGGGTCGCATGTGCCCTCGACTTAGTTGCTTTCCTCGGACGATGTCAGCCTCCAGGATCCCCTTCCTTGCCGTCCTTCCACAGAGTCGGGCGCGACCGGAAATCTCTGCAACTGGCTCCGACTGCATGAATATCCGCATCCATACGCTTCCCCAGGAAATGAAATGACCGTGTTAGCTCTGATATGTCCAGCTGGAGCGTTGAAAAGATCTAAATAGTTAAGAGATGCATCTGCTCAGTCTTCTCGTTTCCGGAGACTCAGGTGTGATGGATTGGTCCACGACCCTTTCCATCGAATACTCATTTTCTTGGCAGTGTACTGTCATGAGGTTTTTCTTTCCTTGGGTATAGCATATGCCGCAACATTGATTGTGGGTTGGAGACCGAAAGCAAAAAAAAATGCCACTCCGGAAGTTGGCGCGGCATGCTAAGCCAGGCACAAGCAACATAAAAACCTGCTGATGCACCAACATGAGACGAAGGACCGGTAATTACTGGGGCAGCAAGGCATGCGCGGCATGATGGATGTTGAACGGAGCAGTACACCTCCAGAGATTCTCTGAACTTCCGGGATGGTCCGGAGATTCTCCGAACTTCCTAGATTATTGAGTTTATTGGACTCTATGACAAGATGCATGTAGAGAATGTTTTCGTACAGAAAAGGCTTCCCACATACAAGGTACATGTTGATACTCCCAAGTTCACCATATCAAATTGCATAAATGCACATTTCGGTAGGAGGCAAGCCTCCCGAAAGTACCTTCGCGGACTCCTCCACAAGTTCAATAATCTGAAATATTTCTTTCGAGGTTATGTTCATAGGCTTCTAGACAAAATACGCTTGACATGCATATTCCCCCCCCCCCTTGCGCCCCTAATTATTTCTTGCGAAGACACTGCGCAACCAAGCATGTGTTGAGCTCCCAAACGCATTGGTTATGTAAACGGCTTCGGTGATCTTTGGGATTGAGGGGCGAGCACGTACCATTCTCCATCTCGCTTCAGGGTTGGGGGGCTTGCCGGTCTCCATTTTCTTTCACGTTTAGGGGTTTAAGGTTTAGGGTTTTTGGCTCAGGGCTTCCCAAACACCCTGTGCCGGTACTGCCAGATTGTATCGGGGCTCTCATTGCACACTAGCTCGCTTGACGGCTTAAGGTGGGGACAGCCGCGGTTTATAGGAAGAGGCCGTACCAGCCAACATTTCCGAGCTTCATATTCCAGGATATTGGGTAATTAGAATCATCCACAGGAAGGCCGGAGATTTAGTATTACCTTGCAGTAGCGGCCACTTCAACCACGCAAACCGGTTGCTGTTCGTCTCCGAAAACAGGTAAGATCCTTCTGAAAGGGGTATGCCTTGAATTGTGGCTAACTAGTGGGTTTAACTCTTCAAAAACGGAAGAGACATGGCAAACCCCAACCCCCACCTCGCCTTAAATGCGGGCCAGCTCTAAAGTTGGCAGCAAACAGGGTATACTGAATGGGGACGCACCCCCCACCCAACACCGTGTTGTCCGCACATGGCTACAAGAAGTTTGCATTACAGTTCTCTGAATGTCTTCGAGACTTCTCAGCTCAACTTCTGCCTTGTTTCAGGAACGTGCAGTTGGACAGCACTGTTGAGCGTTGGGAAAAGACCAGAATCATGTTAGGAAGGGGAGAGCAGTGGTGGCAAGCTGTTCCTTTCTCATGTTTCGCAAGTTGCACGCAGAGGGTTTTTAACCACAGGCCCAGAAAGGCCCAGACATATTGAAGCGCATCCCCAAATGCTTGAAGGTTCCAACATTTGGCGAGTCTGGGTTCGGCAAATGCGAAAAAGTCATCGCTTTGGGACTTCGGTGTTCGCCAAACGTGTCGGTGCTTTTGGACTTCCAGGCTCTTGGTGTCTTTTGGACGTGCTCTTGATGCATTGGAAAAGCCGTGTCCACATGGTCTCTCACTGTTTGGGGTCTGCGCTGGCAGGATACTAAGAAGGTTTAGATTTGAGCGATAATCCTTGCCTTCCTTGCGGATTCCTTGATGTTTCTGGTGTGGCCTGCCTCCTTGAGTGCTCATCTTTTCATGGTCTCGCGGCGTGTTCCAAGCCAGAGCCGGCCTGTATTTTCATCCCCGAGGTGCCTTTTGCAGGTGCGTGATGCCGACCTTCTGGAAGCCTGGTCTCGTGGTGAGTTCGGGGCTCAGCATCAAGTGTCAAGCCTGCTCGACAGGGCATCGTCCGCTTACTTGCTTGACGTTGAGCAGTGAGAAGCGCGGGCGAAAGAAAGGACGCTGGTAGTTGAAGACGACGATGAAGTTGAACATTTCCAAGAGCAAGGCAGGCATAGGAAATCTAAGCAGCTGCCAACATTGGAGACTTGTCACCAGCAACAGGCTGCGATGCTGAGAATGATGGCAGTGACGTCATTGAGATCCGAAGAAACGGCTCTCTGCTGTGGCAGGACGTGGCGTAGCCTTCCCGATCTGTTGTTTGCCACGGTGCAAAATCAGCCTTGCAAGGACTCGCCACGCAAGATGAGGCGGAGGGTGCGGAAGCTGCAGCGGCTGCGGCACCTGAAGGTGGGAGCTGTAAAGGTTTGTGCGATTCTCGTGCTGTCCTGTGCTTGTCCTTTATATCCCAAATCGAAGGAGCCCCTCGTTAATGGCAATGGCTTTCAGCAGGCAAGGCGCAAACTGTCCCTAGGCAGATGTAGTCGGAAAGCCAGAGACTTCACAGGCGCACAGCTTGCAAAATGGTGAGACATGGGTGGATCCAGCTATTGATGTGGAGAAGGCCACTCCTGCATCGTTTCATGCAGGGCTGTGGTGTGCAATGTTTGTGCAGCTGCCGGTTCTCCTCCTTCTGTGAGGCCGGCAAAGCTTGGGAGCAGCAAGCTCTTGATGAGTTTGAGGCCAATGTCGAGGAGGTATGCGAAGAGCCGGAAGAGGAGCCGGAAGATGTGGAGGAATTGGAGAATGTGGAGCACCTGGAGGATGCAGAAGAGGAGGTCGAGTACTTTCCTGATGAGTTGGCAGAGGTTGAAGAGGTTGAAGAGGGTGAAGAGGGTGAAGAGGAGGAGGAAGACATGGACGACATGGACGCATACATGGAAGTGGCGGAAGATGCGAGGGAGCTTGCAGAGCAAAGCAAGGACAGCCCGGGCAATGGCCAGGCGCCAGCATCTCAGGTCTCAAGGTGATCTCCCTGTAGTAAATGTACAGGTG